TTCTCCCTGGCTGGCTGGGATCGAACCCGCACTGCAGAGGTTTCAAAAGCAGAGCCAGCGTTAGAAGGCAAAGAAAAAATGAGTAGCGCTTATTCATTTGCCTATAAGACAATTAACTTCAAGGTTAGAAATTCCGATTTGCACCGATCATGCAAAGTAAATAAAAGTCATCCGTTTGTGAGACATCTACGGATGTCTCATCTGCCTCCACTTGTATCTGCCTCCACATACACATAACTCAGTTCGGTAAGGAAAACCTACATAAACGCATGCCCAATTAAATTGGAGTTTCAGGTTAACCATGAGTGACTTTTTAGTATAGGTATGCCCCATACGTGCTGAAAATTTAATTGGTCATCTTATCAGCTTTACTATCTTTATTTTTAACAGTGTGGTCTGGACATCTTTCATTGAAACAGATGGGTCGCTACAGGTTTTACCAGACCTGGTGGGGGTGCACAAAGGGATTGGGAACTTGCTCTGCATGATGGTTAGGAAGACTTCGCAGGGGAAAATCTCTCCTGCAAATGGTTCTCTAGACCAGTAAATGGTGGGCAGGTTCTCCTGGTAGAACTGAGGTGAGGGAGGGGTGTTACTGCATCACAGAGGACCTGTAGAGTGCTACCCTGGAGCTGCTTTTATCCCATACACACAGGGAGTAAAAGAGTAGCCAGGGGGAGTGACGAGGTCAAATCTGTGTTTATGAAAGTTACAGTCATGCATCAGCTGAACAGTGGTTCCGTCCAATGGCCCTGGTCCCAATGGCCTAGGTGTGTAGTAAGTTGTAGCAGCTGAGTTGGTCTATTTACACTGACATTCACATAACCAGATTGTCCAACAACACATTTCTCAGAACATGTTCCCATCATTAAGGGACACGTGACCGTACATCAGACAGCAGTGGCGAGGACGGATTGGAGGACTGCGAAGCCCAGAGGTGGGGAGACTTTAAAGAGATTGTCCAAGTTTAGTGAGTTCAAAAGTAGCAGAATTTGGATGTGAACTGGGGTTTCCTGGATCAAATTCAGCATGCCTGGCCCTCTGCCTGGGGCCTGTCTGCCTAATTGGACTCTAATTCACACGTGCAAGCATTTTACAGCTCAGGAATGCACAACACGTTATGCTCGCTTTTCCTTCCCTGAATGGTGAGCTCCACCTACATTTGGAAATAGGGAAGATCTCTTGTACCCCTATCCCTCCGCTTCTCACGTGGCCTCTGTGCCTGCAACCAGTTAACGTAACCCTCTTTTCCGGCCGGGCTCGCCCTGCAAATTACATGAACGTGGCCAAGAGACAAAGTGAATTACATGCCTTTGAGGTATTTGGTCTTTATTCCTTGGCTGCGGCCTGACTTTCTGATGCCCTGGGAATCAGGGCACCTGCTTTTCAAGGACACTCTGCGACAAGGCCCACACAGATGGCAGGCAGGGCATTTTGTCATGGTCAGGGGCTGCTCGTTCTTGGAGCTGGTTCACTAAAAACTGGAGGGTGGTCAAGGAGACCCTGGAAACTCTCCTGGGCCTCCACTACCTCCAAGGTGGGGGCACTGTTAGAAGCTCAGCACCCACAGGGCAACCGCTTAGAGAACGTACAGGCGTGGGTTAACGAGGCTTTATGTAGATTAGCAAAGAAGAGACAATACATGTGTTTTCATGCATGTGTCATGAACTCCGCTAGGAGCCTGGGATTAGAGCTTTGTAAGGAAAACAAAACAAACACTGGGGTGCACTTAACAGCAGGACATATAGGGAAAAGGTAAGAAGCACAATAATTAGCACTAGACAATAGGCATAAAAGGATATAAGGGGATAAACATGCAAAACGATATTCATGCTCGGTTTCAGTAGTTAAAAGGTAATTTTTGAAGAAGTCCTTTTGAATAACCTGTGAGTTTTTACTGAGCAGTTGCCACGTGACACTCCTCAGCACTGTTCACCGGGGACTGACAACTGCAGGCTGAAGAACGGCCGAATTACCAGATAGCTAACACAGGCCCTTCCGGGATGGACAGAGACAGATGAGATGGTGCGGAGGCCCCACATACCAGTTTTGGTTCTGAGGCCTGTGAATTTTCAGGGGTGAGAACACACTCATGTAGAATGGTGATTTTGTGGGACTTGCAGTATTTGTAGCAAGTCTGAAGATGACTTCACAAATTCAGGAACTTAGGAGATATCCAATTCTTCAAATTGAATTAAAATTAAACCTGACTCTGAACCCTTGTTCCCCATTACCATCTGGACATAAATTTATTCTAAGCTTTCCACAACCAGTAAGAGAGGAAAAAAAGCAAGAGGGCATGAGGGGAGGAAAACTCCACCTGAGCTGAGCTAGCTGACAGAAGGTAGGGGTTCTGACCTAGGCCTGCCCAGATGGCCGGTCCTCCCCGAAAGGGAACGAATACTGGTATCTAGCTGTGATCATGTCCCTGCCAGAATGGCTTCAGGAATCTTACAGGAAGGGCAGTGATTGTGCTCTTTGCAGACGGAGTTTGTCAGCATTAGAGATGTGCCGTCTGTCAGGGGACGGAGCACTGTACCAGGAGTCCACCTGACATTTAGTGGCTTCATTTCTCAGCTCACTCAGGGGACACCTCCTCAGTGAGTCCTCTCCGTCCTGAATTCTAAATTTTGGCTCCTACCTGTCATTCTATCTTTAGCGTTTCTTGTTCTTTATTATTAGCCTTCATTTAATTTTTAATTACAGGTGCCTTGTGCGCTTATTTGCCTTCTCTCCCAGTAGATAATGTCACTCTAGAGGCCAGGGATTAAGTGTGTTTTATTGACCAAGTACAATCACTTAACTTCAACTTTTTAATCTGTTAAATGAGAATGGTAATACTGCTTTTGCCTACCTCACTGAGCTGTGAAATTAAAAAAGATAATACATGTGGAACTCGCTTGTAAATCATCAAACATGATGCCAGTATCAGTTATGCTCACAGCCTGTCTGTCTGAATGTACAGCACAAGCTGAACACTTATGAAATGAGCCTCTGAGCAGATTAGCATTTTTGTTAAATGAGATAATAGAGGAAAGTACTTAGAACTGGATGCACACTGGGATCACTGCATTGTGTCAAGTCAGGGAGGGCAGCCCCAAGCTTTAAAGACAGCACTCTGGGCCCACCCACAGCAGACTGGATGCTGTCAGGCAGAGCAGATCATTTTGGCCACTGGGGGAGGTTTTCCAAGGTGCTTCTCAGCTACCATCTTCCTTTCCTAACACAAGGCAAGGATTGCTGAGAAAGACATTTCCCTGGCAGAGAGATTACAGAGGGAAGGAAGACATTTCCAGAAACAAGGCTGCTGTTGCCAGCATTTCAGAGAGCAAATGGGAGAAGTCTCAAGTTAAAACACTGGACAATGCGTGTGGCATCATGTGAAAAAGGGAGTGTTGGAGCAGGATGATGTGGTTGACAAATACACTAGTCTCAGGCTGAGATAGATAGACCAATGTCTGCTTTTGATAGACCAATGATGAAAGGAGAAATTATGCATTCTGATGACTGCGATGGGACATGAATCCCTGAGATTAGGACCCAAAGGTCAAATGTTGCCAAACCAGCAAGGTAAAAAGAAATGACTAGATTGGATCAAATCACATTTTCCTTCCCTTGGTGTTTGGTGTGTTTTGTCCTATTTCTTAGGGAGGAAGGAGAAGGAGTTGACACCATAACTACACTGGGTTTCCTTGTTTGTTGAAAATACAATTATGGTTTACTTGACTGCTTAGTAACTGTGTAGAGTCTGTCTGCATGTTTTATGGAATCGCTATTCTCCCAGGATCCCAGATTCTCTCTTGGTGGAACACCCAGTTTTCCCCTTACCCTTTAGCCATGTTTTTGTACAGTGGTGACTGCCTTGAACACAAACAAAGCAGTGAGGGGAGAGGTAAGATGGCAGAAGAGGTAGGACAGGTAACTAGCCAAAGGGAATAGAGAATGCAGGTACAGGGATGGGGCAAGAGGGAGGGCCAGGGCCTCCCTGGTGGCACAAGGGGTTAAGACACAGCCTATGAAGCTGTCCGTGGCCTCTGCAGCACGAGTTCAATCCCCAGCACAGCAGACCTCTCCTGTCTCACCCGCTGCTCCCCTCAGCAGTGTATTTCGTCAGTCTGCCTGCTCTGTTCCCCACTCTGTCTCTGGTGAATCCTCTCACCCCCCGCACCTCTGGCCTGTACCCCAGTTCTTGCATGCATAAATAAATAAATCTTTTAAAATAAAAAAAAAAGGTGGGCCAGACCTTGATCCACAAGAAGACAAAGCCCCATCACAGATATGAGCCAAGGCCAAGGGTGAGAAAGTGGGATAAGCAATGCTCACCCATGATAAGAGGATCATATAAACCAGGGAGGTGAAGATTAGAAGAAGTGGTACGAGTCTGTAGATTTTTTTAAATCTTAGTTTGTTAAAGAGATGACTGGTACAGCAAAAAGATTGGGGTTAACTTTCCTCTCATCTGTTTTGGGATCGTGACCACAGAAAGGGGCTTCTCTCAGCCTGGGTATTACCTACATTTTTTTGAATGATAATTGACTGGTGGTGCGAAATGGAATATAGGCAAGTACAGGACACCATGGGGACAGTAGAGAGAGGAAATCAGAAGTTGGGGGAGTCAAGGACGGCCTTTTTGCCTGTTAACAATGTGAAGGCAGGACCCAGAGCAGGTGGCTTTGGGGTGCTGTGGGGAGAGACCAGGCCAGTCTTCTGTGCTTGAGGACTGAGGAAAAATCAGATAGCAGTCCAAAGAGGGCCTAGGAACAGGTAGAGCAGTTACTCCCAGAAAAGTCTCCACTTGGTCTGCCCTTCTCAGTCCTGGAAGAAAGTGCTCACATCCTCACGACACTGGAAGGTAAATATGAGGAGAGTTGCATGAAAGTAAACAGGGTTTTAAAACGGATCTGGGAAAGCGAAAGCAGAGTCTGAATGTATGCACACAAAGTCAGTAGCTTGGGAGGTAGAGGGGTATGTGTGTGTGTGTGTGTGTGTGTGTGGTGGTGTGTGTGTTCTTCTACTGAGGAGACAGAGGAGAGCTTTGTGTGGCCGGCCCTAAGCACTGGCTTCCTATCTCTCGGGTGTGCTGCGCGCCAGTGCCGGGAACATGCAGGGGCTTCTCCTTGGAACTCTCCTCTGTTCTGCTCTGTCACAGGTAAGGTCTCAATCGCTACCTTTCTCTTCAGGAGTCTTTAGCAGTTCTGATTTCTTCAGGCTGAAGCTAAAAAAGGAAGATGGGGGATGAAGAGGGATAAATTCCTTGTGGAAATACTTCATGAGCAATAGGGAGCCATTTTCTTTTCCAAGTAAAGCTCTATTTTAGTTTATTAGCATAATGAAAGAAGTGTAGAAACATTTCTCCCTTTCAGGTAATGACTTTTAATACTACCTTTGATATGTTTGAACAAACCCCAAACATTACTTCTATATATATATATTTTTTTTAATTGGAATATAATATATGTATTTGGGAAGTGGCAGCTCTGCCTGGGATGCTAGAGCAAACAGTGACTCTGCGTGTGGGCTGCAGACTGGGGCTCAGCTTTTCGTAGTCCTGGGCAAAATGTGCAAAGGGTCAATGGAAAAAATGATTTTGACAACTTCCTTCAGCTAAAGCTTGTCTTTCTTGGAAAGGAGCATTTTGGAATAAGCATTTACTTTTTACAAACATATTACTTTGTCTTTTCTCAACCCATATTTTTTTCTTTTCATGAAAGGGCATCAGTCCATGAACAGTTTGAAATATTTCAAGCAACAAACCAAAGGGAAGTTTAAGTTAATATGAGCACTTTATTGTCACTTCATTTTTTAATAAGGAGATTAAAACAGGATGACTTATTTATGGACTTATATGTATGGTAGAGGTTATTGCTTGCACAGATGGTGGAGTTTCTGAAAACTTCTGGTGATTTAGAAAACATGGGTATATTTGTGAGTTAACAGTTGTTGGGGGCAGTGGAAAATAAATGTTTAGTAGAAAAAGGATTGAAATTTCCTATATTATAAAGGGAGCAATTTTGGATTTTAAAAGGATCATAACAAAATGTCAGTAGTAAGGTTCATTTCCACCAATATGTGATGGGGCAGGGGAAGTGAGAAGGGGCTATTTGTCTCCTATTCCACCAAACTTGAGAAAAGGCCTGTCGTTACTATGGATGGAGAGCTATTCCATGTTCCTAAACAGAACGAGACCAACATAGAGAGGAGTCCAAAATGAAAAACAAAACAAACACAAAAAGGTGTGACACATAGAGCAACAATATATTTTTTAAACTTTAACATTATGAATTTCTAAAAGGTCTAATAATATTTGCCATTTTTTTTAAACATCTGCTATGTGCCTCATACTGTGGCAGGCACTAGAGTCATTACTTTAATTCTCAAAATAATCTTTCAAGGTAAATATTAGTAATCCCATTTTACAGGAGAGGACTGAGGTCCAAAGGTCAAATGAATGTCAGAAAGTTATTCATCCTCACAGAGCTATCCTTATGCTCAGCTCTATTTGTCTAAACCCTATTCTTTCTATGTGCTGTTCTGATAATACTTATTTTGAAAACAATCAAAATATGTGTGAAAAGAGAAAAATACATATAATTCTTTATATTTTCCCATATATTTGCCATTTCTAGGACTCTTCATTTCTTGGTAATTTTCCTTTCAGAATTAAGATTTTCCTTTATTACTTCCTGTGTATTAAAATTTCTCTATTTCACCTATTTACCCTTTTGGTAGAAGTAATTTCTCTCATTCTCTTTTTCCAATTCCCCCTCTTCTTCTTCTTCTTCTTCTTTTAAGTTTAATTCTTTCAGAGGAATTTTAGGGTCTAAAAATTGAGAGAAAGATACAGAGATTTCCCACACATGCATCTCCCTCCCCATTATCAGTATTCTCCACCAAAGTGGTACATCAGTTACAACTAGTGAACCTACACTGACATCACAATCACCTGAAGTCTATAGTTGACTTGAGGGTTCATTCCTGGTGTTACACATTCTATGGATTTGGACAAATGTATAATGACAAGCATCCGCCATAATGGTATCATACAAAATATATTCACTGTCCTAAAATTCCTTTATTTCACCTATTCCTAATTCCTCTATTTCACCTTTTCCCCAAGCCCTGGGAATCACTGATCTTCTCACTGTCTCCATAGTTTTGCCCTTGCCACAATATCATATAGTTGGATGCACACTTTTCAGATTGTCTTCTTTCACTTACTAATATGCATTTAAGTTTCCTTCCTGCCTTTTCATGGTTGATAGTTCGTTTCTTTTTAGTGCTGATTGATATTCCATTGTCTGGATTACCACTGTTTATCCATTTCCCTTCTGAAGGACATCTTGGTCCCCTTCTGAGGAGAAGTCAGGTTTCATTCTTATTGGTACTCTTGTGGATGCAATGCTTCCCTTTCTCAGCCTGCTTTCAAGATTTTCTCTTTATCCTTGGTTTTTAACAGTGTTGACTTTTGACCTCAGAAATTATATAGAAATACTTCAAGAGAAGAAAGGTAAACAGGTGTCCCTGACTAGGACTAGGACTAGGACTTTCATGAGGAAAATTATGGGGACTAGGACTTTCATGAGGAAAATTATGAAGGAAGAAAACTTACATGGTGAGTCTGATAAGCTGCAAGTATAGGCGAGTGTTCCAAAGGTAAGCCTGGACAGGCAGCATAACCAGCAGAGAGAGCTTGAGATATCACACTCAGAAGTTTGACTGTATACTGTAGACAGTAAAGAGAGGAGCAGTAAATCAGACTTGTCTTTTCAGGAGATCCCTCCTGTGGTGATACGGTGCATTTGTTCAAAAGCCATTCTTGAGGAAGATCAGTACTTAGCAGCAGTGCAAATGGGAAAGTGACTAGTTCTATGGATATGAGAACAATAAGTTTAGTCACTGAGAGGTTATGGGTGGTCAGGAAGATTACCTAGATGATTCTTAATTGCCTAATTCCAAACTTTAGAGAATCTGCAGTGTAAGGATGGGTGGGAAAGATGGAATTAGGTCATTCCAAGGAGAGCTGTGAGCCAGGAACGGTGAATGAAGACCAAATATGTATGATGAATATATATCTTGGTCATCTGAATGAATCAGGAAATTGTGGCCCATTACTGAATGACCAAAATATTATGTCTTATCACAGTATAATACCCTTTGATCATCATCTCCTCTTTCCCATCACTCCTAGTAACCCTCCTCAGGCCCTAGCAACCACCATTCTTCTTTCTGCCTCTATGAGTTTGACTATTTTAGTGATTCCACAGGTGAGATCACACAGAATTTATTTTTCTGTGCTGCAAATGGCAGGATTTCCTTTTAGAAAGACTGAATAATATTGCCTTATTAAATATGGCACGTATGCATGACATATTTAAAAAAATTATCCATTGATAGGTATTTAGGGTATTTCAGTATCTTGGCTATTGCTAATAATGCTGCAGTGAACATGGGAATGCAGGTCTTTCTTTGGGATCCTGATTTCAATTCCTTTGGATAAATAACCAGAAGTGAAATTGCTGGATCATATGATAGTTTTATTTTTAATTTTTTGAGCAACTGTTTTCCATAGTGGCTGATCAATTTACATTCCCATCCAGAGTGTACCAGGGTTCTCTTTTCTCCCTTTACCAACACTTGTTGTCTTTGCTTTTTCCTTAAATCATTTTAACAGGTATGAGATGCTATCTCACTATGGTTTTGATTTGCATTTCCCTGATACTTAGTGGTGTTGAGCACATTTTTCACGTGGCTGTCTTCTCTGGAGAAATGTTTATTCAAGTTCTTGGCCTGATTTTTGGTCATTCAGTTGTATAAATTCCTGGTTTAGTTTGGAAGTTGACCTCTTGGTATATACATGGCTTATAAATATTTTCTCCTATTCCATATTGACTTTTCACTTTTTTCCCTTCGATGTGCAGCTTTTTAGCTTAATGTAATTCCACTTATTTTTGCTTTATTATTATTTTTTAAAGTCCACTCTGGGTGCTGAATGGAGAATATAGAGGACAAAGGGAAACAAATATATTATTATAATCATCTAGGTAAAAAATGATGGCTCAAATCACTGTGGTAGCAGTGGGGGTATTAAGACATTATCAGACTAGGTGTATTTTAAAGCTATAAGCAACAGAACTTACTGATAGGATTAGCTATAAAATGCGAGGGAAGAGTCAATGATGACCTGACCCCTAAGGCATTTTGGAAAAATAAAAACAGCATTTGCTCGCATAGAAGAGCAGGAGTGGAGGGGAAAATTGGGAGTTTGCTTTTGTTCATACTACAGTTGCTATGAAATACCTAAGTGGAGATCAGTTAAATAGGAGTTTGAGTCTGGGTTCAGAAGAGAGATTTGGGTGGGAGATATGAGGTATACTGAAAATATGAGATACTCCAGAGATAAAAAGCTTGAGAAGAAACCAGTCAAGGAAACTGAGAAGGAACAGTCAGTGAGAATGGAGGACTAAGGAGGGATGTCTTGGAAGACTGAGCAAAGGAAAGTTTAAGGAGACTGATCATGTCAAATGTAGACAGACATTGTTGTTATTGCTATGACCACCACAATATATTCTTTCAATTTGTGGGGATCTTCTATACCTATATAAACCCTGAATTTATGTTGGAGGAACCATTTCTAACATGACCTTTATTATCACATGAAGTTCTGCTGCAGGGCACAGGGCACTGGGCTGTTAGACACGGCACCTGGAGGAAGGCTCGAAGTGTCAGAAGTACATCATCGTAAACAGTTTTGTCACTGGCCCTGTCAATGCCCTCGTCGGAAGCCCAGTTGCCCTCCTGGGGTGAGCATGGTGAGGGATGGCTGTGGGTGCTGCAAAAGCTGTGCCAAGCAATCAGGGGATATCTGCAATGAAGCTGACCTCTGCGATCCACACAAAGGGCTGTATTGTGACTACTCAGCAGACCAGCCTCGGTACGAGACAGGAGTGTGTGCATGTAAGTGTCTTCATCTGGATCTGCTGGAAAAGGCTGAGTTTAGACAGGGATTGCTCCTCCTTCCCCCCCACCCCCTGCCCACCCCAATTGTTAATTTGGAATAATCAGTCTAGTTTGGCTAAACATGAGGGGAATTTAGTTTTCACACATCAGTGGGAGTGGCTCCATCATATTAGATATCATGTGAAATTAGCAGATGTTTACACACACTCAGAAACCTGTTACTTTTATTGCATTGAAGTAATCTATCAGTTCTTTTCAGGTATTTACTTTTAAGGATAAAAATAGGTGAAATTATATAAATGTACTGATTTCTTAAAATGCCTTGAAATGACAACTTTGTTAATACTAACTAAAGTCACAGAATTCAGATCTCTCTGTAACTAAAAAAAAAAAAAAAAAAATCTTGCTTAAAATGTAAGGCTATGTAAGTAGTATTCAGGTATAATGCTTTCGTCTCAGTCTGATCATATAACATCCTGATGATAATTCTGGGGACCAAGTTATTTGGGATAAAATAAAATTTCTGAAGGAAGGTAAATACTTGTATCAGCAGGACAGTTTGGACTCTCCATAAAATTCTAGGTGGGGCAGGGGGGCCTCCCTGGTGGCGCAAGGGGTTAAGCACCACACTATGAAGCAATCCACAGCCTTGGCAGCATGAGTTCGATCCCCAGGTGGCCAAGGAGCAGCAGACCTCTCCCGACTCACCCGCTGCTCCCCTCAGCAGTGTATTTCAGTCTGCCTGTTCTGTTCCCCACTCTGTCTCTGGTGAATCCTCTCACCCCTCACATCTCTGGCCTGTATGCCAGCTCTTGTATGCATAAATAAGTAAATCTTTTTTTAATAGCTTTTTTTATAAAAGATTTATTTATTTATCCATACAAGCACTGGATACAGTCAGAAGCAAGGGTGAGAGAACTCACCAGAGCCAGAGTGGGGAGCAGAACAGGCAGAATGACGAAGTACACTGCTGAGGGGAGCAGCAGGTGGCAGGAGAGGTCTGTGCGCCATGTGGGACCCTCGCCGGCAGCCAGGGATCGAACTGGTGCTGCAGAGGCTGGGGGCAGCTTCGCAACCCAGTGCTCAACAACTGCGCCACCAGGGAGGCCCAAATAAGTAAATCTTTAAAAAAAAAAAAAAAATCTTACTGGGAAGGTAAACTATTATGTTTGGTTGTGGGCATGGAAATAGAAGCTGTTCAAGTCTTATAGGCTGAACTCCATGTCAGCACTATCAAGAATGGCTTTGATGAAGTTGTTTAACCTTTCTGAGCTCAGTTACATCATATATACTTCCTATCTTAAAAAGTTGTTAGGAAAATCAAGTGTAATCATGACACAAAACTCAAAACACCTCATATGACATATGACATGTGATAGACTCTTGATATTATTTATAAAAATTCATCAGGGAAAACACAACTTATTGGACTCTTGTGTACAGGATACCCCACTCCTGAAATTATTTCATTAACCTAAAAAAAAAACACTGAGTGAACAAACATCCACTATCGAACCAGGTACTATGGTGAGTAGCTGAGGACACAACAGAGAATAAAGATATAGTCCCCACCCTTACTGAGTCAAAGTTTATTATGCTAGGCAGCTCTTTTACAATTTTACATACAATGTAGTAAGTATTTTAACAAAGCACAGCTATGAGGAGGCAGGGATGGAGGGGGTGTGATCTATAACAGGGGTTACAAACTATGTCCCAGGGATCCAATCCAGCTCATACTCTGTTTTTTTAAATCACTTTTACTGGAAAACAGACACACCCATTAGTTCCAGACAGTCTGTGGCTGCTGCACAATAGCAGAGTCCAGTAGCTACAACAATGACCAAATGGTCTGTAAAAGTTAAGACAGCCACCATTTAACCTTTTCACTGAAAATTTATTGATCCATGATCTAAAACAAAGGTTCTTAAACTCTTTGGTCTGAAGACCCCTTTAGCCTTAGAAATTAATGAGGACCTAAACAGCTTTAGTTACATGAGTAACCTCTACTAGCATTTACCAGATTAGAAATTTGAAAATATTTACTAATTCTTTAAAGAAACCCATTGCAATTAATAAGGAGCAATATTTTTTATGAAAATACCTTATTTTCATAAAAAGAAAAATTTAGTGAGAAGAGTATAATTATTATTTCATTCTGTTAAGCTAATGTCTAACTTCACCAAAGATAAATAGACTCTCCTATCTTCTTCTTTGGAAAATGTCAGTTTGGAAAAATGAGTTACAGAGATGTTCCAATTGTTGATTTTTATTTGTACAATTTAAAGTTACATGAATACCAATCTCATAAGAAAAGTCTGCGTACTGGATCTTTGTAAAGATCTCAGTGGCAGACAGAAGTTTTCCAAAATTCTGATGTTTGCTTGAAAGCTTGAATTCTATCATGGGAAATAAATATTGTCAGTTGTTTTCCTCGAAGTGACAGGCTCACTTTGTTGATTGGTAACACAATGACTGATAAATACCCATATCTGAATAACCATGGTTTATTTGTCAGTCATTTCTTCAAGTAAAATTTCCACTAAAAAAGTGCCTTGTATGATGGGACAAGTGTAACAATAGCATAGGTGCTTCCCTTCAGCGAACTATTGTACTTTGGTACAATATGTAGAGGAATGCTCTCTGTATACCTCCATATTTTGTCACACAGAATATTAAAGAGACATGTATTTGATGATTTCATTTGTTTAAATCATAAAGACTTTTTATTTGTCACCATTAAAAATTTGAATTTTAAACAGATTTTTGGACTGTTGACTCATATCTAACAGCTTGTCCAACTTTAACACATATCTCATTCCCAGTAGCTTTTCCAGAACTGTCACCTTCATCATGACGCTCCATGCATTTTCCCAATTTCAACTTGGACTTCTTTAGTATTTTTCTTTTCAAAGAAAGATGTAATGGAGCAAATAAACAGATTGGCAAGACTTTTCTACATATTTCCCAAAGCAGTCTGAAATTCGTTTATTGACCACCTCTCTCAAATCATTCTTCTGCTCCTCTCAGGTCATGATTTCCATTATCTTCTGGATTTGGCAGGCCTTTTGGTGCTGAGCATTAGAGGTCTTCCAAGTCTGATTGCTGCATTTTTTAGTAAAGCCAAAGTAGAATAGATGAAGCAACTAACTGGTGGTCTTGACATCACATGAATTTCAGTCATAGCCTGCCATTTTTTGACCATGGGCACATTTTGTCATGGGTAAGAGCCATGCCATGAAAGTTGGTGGGGCAGTTTTTACCCTGAACATCCTCAGTAATTAGCTTGAATTTTCTAAATGCATGTACATTCTTCTGCAGATCAGTAGGGCTCACTTCAAAAATATGACCCTTGGGGCCACAGATGTGATTTTGGTTTCATGAGTTCTCATGACTAGTATTTTCCCAATATTTATTATATTTAACAGTGCTGGTGCTTTCACATCATATCAATCTTAGAAGTTGGATCTACCTTCTTAGCTTTTTATTGGCCAGTTTTCATGAGGGCCTTACTTTTGCTGACCATCATGGTGCTGCTCAAAGAGCCCAAAGGGCAAGATTTTAAGATTTAATAAAAACTAATAATTTTACTGCTTCATGAAGGACATTCTTAAAAAAGCTAGCTTTAAAAAATGTATAATGACTAACCCAGACAACTGATTCATGCTAAGGGACCAGTAACAATTTTAGTCACTAATGCTTTGACCTTGAAGATTCTCTGAAAGGACCTCAGTTACTGCCAAGGTATCTATGGACCATATGCTGACAACTGCTGATCCAAAGATCAAGAAAACTCCTCAGAGGAAGTGAAAGTTTCCTCAATTCACTTAACAACAACAACAAATAATCAGTTACCTAACAGGACTGTAGTTAAACAAATAATGATTTCTTTAGTCATTCAAGTATCCTGACTTTCTAAGAATATATCCTAGGCTACTGTTGTCTCAGTCTTACCAAGCCATCCGTTAGATTTACAATCATGATCTCATTGATATCCTCACGGTGATTATTACCTTTACTACAAAATTACTTGGTTTTAATTCTGGAAGAGACCATTTAGGTCTGATAAACCCAAATGTCTCATTTCCACTTATTTACAGAGTTCTAAAAGGAGATCCGGATAGGGTCAAGAAATTGAGAATTATACTTCATAAAGAAGATAGCTATTTCCTCCAAGGCTTATCATTGGTCTAGATTGTTCTAATTATAACTTTTTGGAAATTTTGTGCTCTTCTCTCTTCAGATCTTGTAGCTGTGGGATGTGAGTTCAACAAAGTATATTATCATAATGGCGAAGTATTTCAGCCCAATCCCCTGTTCCGTTGCCTCTGTGTGAGTGGGGACATTGGATGCACTCCTCTGTTCCTACCAAAGCTTGCTGACAGTCACTGTTCTGGGGCCAAAGGTGGAAAGAAATCTGATCAATCAAACTGTGGCCTGGGAAAATCACAACAGCAGCTCTCAACAAGCTACAAAACAAGGCCAGGTGCTCATTAAGTAGAACCATTTTTTATATATGATTTTTCATGGTTTTTCTTTCATGTTCCTTTATACAACATTGGCACTAGGTACTTACTGATTGGTGGCCAATATGAAATGTAGTTGGAGTTTGCCCTATTCTAAGTATCTGAATAGGGAACTTTATTAATTTTAGACTATTCAGGTAAATTATTCTAGTTTTTGAAAGCTATGCAAAGGAAAACCCTTAAAATTTTAACTGCCCCTGCTTTCTCCCACTGAACCTCTTCTCAGGGAAACTGATTATATACTGT